GACATGATTGTTTCATCTATTTCTTGCCTTGTGATCTTTGAATAACTTCATAATTAGAGGGGATATACTCATCTCCATTTTACAGTTAAGAAATAGGCCCAGAATAGTAATGATGTTCTCAGTTCTGTAGCTAGTAATGGTACATGACGGACACTAGAATCCTAGTCATCGGATGCTCACCTTTCTAAATTCTTACGAAGATGAAGAGCCTCTCTGCCAGTTGAAGCAACTATTGAATAATGGGTGCACTATAAATGACTTGCGGTTCAATGCTGTGCGCCTGAACGACTTTGTGTGTACAGACAGTGACTGAGTTGTATCAGTAAGCACTAGTACTTGACGTTTTATCAAAAAATTATTAGAATTCTAGGACACTTGTTGATGGGCTTTGAATGTCAAATGTACTCTTTATTATTAGGTTCAATGTAGTGGATACCAAGCATATTGAAGATCAGTGGTTATGTGAAAAGAATATTATATTCAATGTGGATGTCATCTTTGTCTTATGAACTCCTTCTGAACACAACCTGACAACATTCACGTGTAAATAGGCCCCTTTAAGCACAGAGCTCCCTAATTTTCTGCCCTTGTTGATCTCTTGGTAAAGGAACATAATACTATTCCCTTTGTGGGAATAGTAGGGAGCCAAACCACTTTGGTCCGTAGGTCACTTGGACACCTGGATACCTTTCTCTGTCTCCTTTCCCTGTTAGTTCTCACCTCCTGGTTTCCAAGAGTAACAACTTTTGGGGGCTTTAGGAAGAATACATGAATACATGTCTTAGAGGCTGGGCACCTCCCTCCCATCCCCAGCCCAGCATGTGTTATAGCTTCTGCATTCCGGAGAATGGCCCTAGCTCTGGAGAGGGTTCTCCACTCCCTGCAAAAGGCCCTTTTGCCAACTGGCAGAGCTTGTGGCTAAAAAGTGAGAATGGAGCCAAAGGACAGTCTGAGGCCATAGCCAATAGCGGAGAGTGGAGGGAGCCTTGTTACTAACAACCTCTGGGCTGAGATGCCCAGGAGCTGAGAGAAGAGGTAAAGCTTGGGGTTGGAAGAATCGAAGCAAATGGGAGGGATTGCTGGAGGAGAGAGTAACCCTGAGTACATTTTAAATCTGAGTCAAAGAAGACAAGACTCCATTTATGAGACCCAGTGACGCTGCTGTGACCAAGTGTAATAGTGTAAAAGTATACTGCATACCTTGAGGTGTAATCAGGCTTAATAAAAGGAGCCCTTGTAAGTCCTTAGACTTATCTTTTTGAACTTCTACAAGTTTCCATCCTTATTACTCTTTTTCTTTCAAGTACCAGCATTTAAGGTTAAAAAACCCCTCTTGTTTAATATTTTTATGCTTTGCTGAATAGATAGTATATTTGTAGCTTTAAAATATTTTTATTGACTATGTATGGTTTTATTACACAAATAAAGCTTTGAAACTCATCTGTCTGTAAATTGAGACTACCTTTTATAATAAGACATTTCTCCTTAGGTGATTAAATTAAGACATTTTAAAATTATTTGTAGTATTCTTTTATTCATGCTTTGACCTGCTCTATTCTTAACAATAATTGAGAGTTAGTTTAATTTAAAGCTAATACTTTTTCACTTTATTTTATAATTATCTGGGGTATGTTAAAAGTTCTTAATTTGGATAAGATATATGTAAACACAGTGAGTACTCCCCAAAGCAAAGTAATAAATGGCTTCAGAATGCCCCATCATGCCCTATTCTCCATAGCTTCCAGCCTTCACGTTTTTCCAGTGTGAGTATTAAGCCCACAGAGAGTACTGTCTTTTAAATAGCCAAGACCTACTACTACCCTATCACACATTAAGTCTTAACTTTCTTACTGTAAATATTCGTTATAGAAGAAATCGGGTTTCTCCCTCCCCTCCCCCCTCCCCCTTCCCCCTCCCCTCCCTCCCTCTCCTCTCCCCTCCCCCCTCTCCCCTCCCCTCCCTCCCCCTCTCCTCCCCTTCTCCCCTTCTCTTTCCTTCCTTCCATGCAGAGTAGTTTAGTAATGTAAAATACACACTCAAGGAAGGAGTGTAGCCATGCTCATGAGGTGAGCAGCAAAGAATCAGGTTTCTTGAGTCAGAAAACAAAGTCTTTTTTGAGATTTATTAAAAGGCACAGTCACTTGTTTACAGTATTTTTGAAAATACTTTATTTCATTTTATTCTCTTCATCCCTGTCATAAGTACCTATTATCTATTTTACTGAGGTACAGTTCACATAACATAACATAACCATTTTAAACAACGGTTTAGTGCCATTTCATACATGCACAATCACCACCTTTATCAAGTTCCAAGACATTTGCATCACCCCAGAATGAACCCCATACCTGTTAAGTAGTTACTCCCCATTCTTTCCTCCTTTCAGCAATTAGGGTACCTTTTAAAAATTTTTAAATTGAGAAATTAGTAAACTGATAAAACTTTGAGATAATTGAGATATTATAGGACTAAATTTAGAATACACTGTTCTAAATTCAATAGCATGAAGAAATGCATTCAGTATTCTGATAGTGGAAAAATTAGATCACAAAATATTTGCAACCATAAGGGAGAAGAGGAATACTTGGTAGGAAAAACACCAAAGTAAGTGCTTTTGCTCTCAATTTTCTTTTGTAAAAGAAAATATCTAAAAAAAAAGAGAGAGAAAATATTTTTCATAATTAAAAAAATTCTAGATAGTTAAAAACTTGGGCTCAGACTTATTATAGCATAATTACTTATTTCATCATAGTATTAAATTTCAATAGTTTTTTTCCCTCCAGATTAACTTACAAGATTTCTTAGCATTTATTAAGAGAAAAAGATCTGCTGGAGAGACAAAACTATGAATTTCATAGTTTGTCAATCCTCCAAATTCTATCTCAAACCATGAATACCTGTTTCAAGTAAGCTGTGTTGTAATTTATTTTTCTTTTAAAAAAATACTTTGTGGGGCTTTCTCTTCAAACTGTAAAAACATGACATTTTTGTTGATAAAAATAAAAAGCCACGGGGTATACAAATAAAAAGTCAACAGTCTCCCTCACGGTAGTCTTCTCATGTTGCTGCCTAATGTTAGCAGCTTGGCAAGTATTTAGCCTTTCTTAGCCTTTCTATCATGCAGTGTACATGTACATGCACATATAACAAAATGGGGCCCAGCTGAGGAAAAAACTCCATTGCCTTCAGGATGTCCCTGGCACTTATTGTAAATATGTGAATGCCCTACAGAGAGGTAGGGCCCTTGGCGAACTGAAAGGGAATTGTTCCACTCAAAGTTTTCATATTCAAAAAGAGTTAGAGCACTATGACAGCCAGCAAGCAGAACCCGCAGGCAGTATTACTTCTTGCCACCTCTCCCCTCCTACACTAACACAGAATGAACACATTTCAAAGATCTAACTCATTAATGCGGAACCAGCAGGATGGTAAAGCTGATTGGGAGAGCATTTGAGGAAGTGAGTGAGTGTACGTAGACACTGAAGAAAGAACATTGAAATAAATTGCTAAACTAGATACAAAATTGGTTGATGTCCTACAGGCTAGTAAAACCATAACCTTTGAAATATGCTAGACAGAAATTACCTTTACCAAATAAAAATCTGCAAGTTAACCTGTAACCTCATAGAATTTGCATCCTTATCAACAGTAAACAGCAGGTCGTATGATGGTACTATAATTATCTTTGGGAGGACCTATGAAACAAGATTGATTATGCACTGAAAGGGCTTCTTCATTCACCTCATTTCCAGTTTTGGATAATTTTTCTTCATAAAAAACAAAGGCCTGTTGTGATAATGAATGCTAATAAGCAAGAGCAGTATAGTAGGGAACAGATCTGTGAAGAGCTTGGTACCCTAAACTAGAAAATTCAAACTTTCTTTCAACAAATGTTTATTGAGCACATACTATGTGTCAGGCACATTTACTGTCATACTGAATATGTGATTGTGCTGTGGTGCCCATAAGAGGCTGACCAGTGGTTTTCAAGGGGTTGTATTAAGGTGTCACCTGGAAGCTGATTTTCTCAAAATACCCGTTCTTTGTCCTCTGCCCACCCCGATATAGTTATCTCTGCCTGAGTAAAACATGTATTTTGAAAAAGCTTTTGAGGTGATTTTTTTAAAATTTTGGTATCATTAATATAAAATCACATGAGCAGTACTGTGGTTCCTAGATTTCCCCCCATTATCAAGTTCCCACCACATACCCCATTAAAGTCACTGTCCATCAGCATAGTAAGATGCTATAGAGTCACTGCTTGTCTTTTGAGGTGATTTTTATGCCCATCCCTTTTGAAAATCACTGTGTGTTTCTTTGGATTTTTAAAAAATTAAATGAGTAAACAACATGAAAGATTGCAATATTTGATATTTAAATACTTTCCATACACCTTCTTGCCTGTTCCACCCCTATAATACTTAAACTAAAATAATGTCCTGAATATGCCCTAGTAAAAATTTTATGCAATTGTCGTGTATAGAATTACATGCAACTGAGAGATTAATTTGGGAAGAACTGGGCTTAGTCTTCTTAATTGTATCCTTAGGTTATTCTTCTCACTAAATAAACTAACTGAAAGAGTTGTCATTTATAGTATATGTAATCTGTATGGCAAAGAAATGTGATTAAAAAATTAGACTTAAAAATGTTTTTTAATGAGAAAATAGATTCATTAACTTGTTAGAGACTGGTAAAGAGGAATAAGTAATAAAGGAAAAAAGTGTATATGTGTTTGACTTGTGATTAAACTATTTGGGTTGAGTCAACAATTAAAATGAGCAGCTGTTGTGGATGTACATTTAAATTATTTTCAATATAACTTTAATTAGGCAGCCATTCTATGTAAACAGACTCACAAAGCATGAATTTGTGATTTCAGTATATGTAGGCAGCTGTAGAATTTATAACTTAATCAAGAATATGATATTACAGATAAGGGGAGAAATTGGGATATAAAATGCTACAAGTGGTTTATTGTGTATTTTTCTTTTTATTAGTGTGCCGGTCCAACAAAAGTCCCTGGGTCTGTTTGACTTGTTCAAGTGTCCACTGTGGAAGGTAGGTGACATACGTGTTACTTCACTACCCTACTTGCTTTTTTCAAGTTCTCTTTAACCTTATGTCAAAGTTTTATTGATTTGGATTTTTTTAGTACCATCACTTTATCGCAGTGTAATTTTCTGTAGGGCTTCCCTCTCCCAATTGAAACTGTTCAGTGATACAACTGAGGGAAATCTAGGGGGGAAAACCTTTTATATTAATAATCAGAAGAATTAATTTGATGATCAAGATACTCTAGTAATGTTTGATTAAAAAGATGAAATATGGGAACTTTGAAATCTTTAAATTAAAGTTTACCTTATGATTGTTTCTAAAAACATTTTATTTTGGTAAATTTAAGCATATACAAAAGTTGAGGGATACTATAATTCCCCATATTTTCATCACCCAGCTTCGAAGATTATCAACACATAGCCATTCTTGTTCACCTATTACCTATCCTGTCCCCACCTTTACTGACTTTTCAATCAAATCTCAGATATCACATCATTCTTCTGAAAAAACAAAACACTGAAATGTTTACAGATAAAGGGATTCCCTTGAAAATGATCTAGCTGTGGAGTTCATTATTAATTGTTGTCTAAGTTGTATCAAATGTTTCATTGTTCCTTTAGAACATTTTTGCCTTCCAGGGATTTAACACTGCCACCCCCGACCCCGACCCCCCAGTTTCTCAAGTTAAGCGTGAGCATTTCCTCCCAGTTCCTCACTTGAAAATGATGTACTTAAATACTTAAGTAATTTTTCTTCTAACACAAACTCAAATAAATATCAACCTTTGTGTTCTTTTAGCTTGGCAGTAGCACATTTATTTCACTTGCTCTCTCAGTTTAGAAAATCTACTTTGAATTTACTTCAGAAGTTAATAGCTTAGCAGCAAGGGGATGAGAAATCATACTAAATGATACAGGCTGAAATCTGTATTGTGTTTATTAGGACTGTTTCTCCATTGTTATCTTTAAACCTTCATTGCATGAAAAGAGCATCTTCATTCAGTTAAGTTTTCATTTTTCGCATTTCGAGTCCTGAAATTGAGCATTTTTTCCATGCACACTTAAGAGTACCTTTGGAACATGTTAACTGCCTTATGTTAATTGTGGTTGTTGTGGTTTTGAAATCTCTAGGATTTGGGGAACCTGAAAATACTTTGTACAGATAACATTTTTTTAAAAAAGAAGAAAAGTTAGAAGCACTTAAGCCCTACACTTGAAGAGACAGATTCCTCTCCTAAATTTTGAGAGGTGAGAATCATAATGCCATAAACTTTATATAGTAATGTTCTCCAGTTGTCTCAGAGTGTGCTCTGCAGCCCAAATCCTGAAGGTCGTATGCCAACATAAAGGCCTACAAACTCTCAAAAATTGGAGAGATTAATGTTCTGAATAGCAAGAAACAAACAGTTCTCTAAATAGGTTTTGGATAAACAAATTGAAAATTTTCTAGACTTCACAGGTGTCTGTTTCTAATTGCAAGCAATATCAAATTTAGAAAGTTGGCATAGTTTCAGAGAAATATGATTAAGTAGGTTAAAGAAATGAGAGTAGTCTGCATTTGGATCTTCTAGCTGATTGTTTAATTTTCTTTTATCATGTAATCTTCGGTGTTGATTGCCAAGGATTCTGATTTTTCAGTAATTTTAGATCACTTGTCTTCTGCGAAGTCTTGAATATTCTTTCAACTAGGAAACATAGTTTATCAGTAGCATATTTGGGTTATGTATTCTATTGGTCTTCATGACACCGTCTCATTTAAGTTATTTTTCAAATTTTTGTGATTGTTGTTAAAAATCCATGACATATGTATTTCGACACTTTTCCTTTTTCAGACCAAATTGTTTAGTTAAGACCTAAAATTAGATGAGGGAAATATTTATTTTTATGGTAGCCAGTTTATACATAACTGTTAACTTCTGACATATTTGAGTGTTAGCCAAAATATTGATCTTAATGTTAGCAGTAATGTACTTGTTATTTTATCATTGACATTTACAATAACCATTTAAACATCTAGTACATTTGGAGACTGCAGTGTGATGGCTAAGTGAACTATATGAACATGCATAGATGATCAGTTTTTAAAGAGTTAAAAGTAGTAATGCCTTTATTATTATTGTTATTGTTCAGTATTGCTTTTTCCTTAATTCTGAAGGTACTTCCCATAAATATTACTATTTTTTTTGTGGCACAGTATAAATTATATGTAAGCATAGGAAATTGAGCCGATTAGAATTTGGTTTTTACCTTGGAGTTTACCTTTGAAATTAAATATTGGGTATTTCTTGGCCTGTGCAATGTGTTATCTCAAAGTCTTAGTGTGACCACTTTCTAAGCAATTATGTTGTTTGGATTCTGAATAAATAGTAGTTAAGCACATGAAGGAAAATATAAATAAAACAACTGCTAACATTCATTCATTCACTCTGAGCCATAGATTATTTAATTTAATCCCCCAACAGCTCATGTCGTAAGTACTGTCACCTCCATTTTACAGATGAGGAAACAGAAGCACAGAGAGGTTAGGTAACTCACCCAAGCCCACCTGGCCATTCATGTGGCAAAGCCTACTTTTGAATCCAGGAAATCTCGTTTTTCAGCTTATAGGCTGGATCATTTTATTTTAAAATTTATTTTAGTACACTTTTGTGGACAGAGGACGCAGATACCTAACAAGCATTGGTTATGTTTATTATAATGAGAAAATAGGGGAAAAACATGACCAGATTCTAAGTTGAGGTTAGTAGAGCCTCGAGCTTCCCATTCTCCGGGGTACGAATGAAATCAGGGCTTGAAGTTCATTGTCCCTACTTAGCGCAACTATCCTACTTTCCCCAAGGTAAGTGTTGCCTGGGTATAATTCAGGCTCTTCCTGACATAAATGTCATCTTAACTCTCCAAGTATATTTTTTTGGGTGTCATTTAAACAACATTCATTTTGACTGTTGAGTTTTCAGTTAGACTTTGCCTTCTATACATTGCTTTTTAGGAACTGTGAAGTTAGTTGTGTTGTACACAGTGGTAGTCAGGTACAGCATTGCACAGTATTTAGATGAAAGTATGGATGAATTGGGATGCACACCATGTGCTTATTAGCCTTTATTTCAGTTTCATTTTGCTTTTCCTAATATGGTGATTTATTAAATTTGAGTTGGAAAGTGTTACAGAATTTTTATGAATATAGTCTACCTTTGATTATCTTTGTCCATGTACAGAAATAACAGTTTATATAACCTTAAGATGATTTGTTTGGGCTGTTTCTGAACAGACATGTTTCCATATGAGTGGAGCTGATTGTTCAGCATTCACATAAAAGTTCTGAAGCCATATTGATGAGAAAGAGATGGAAGATTATATTGCTTCCATATCTGACTCTCATATTTTATATTAGCAATCCAAAGCAAGCCTGTGGCTCTGTGGGAAGTGGTTGAGCAATTTAGTTTACAAAGCTTGTCTTTGGTAATCTGAATTGGAGGTTACTAGTCTGAGAAAAGCTTAAAAAAAGAAAAAAGCTATAGCAAAAGCATCAGAAAAGGAGTTGGTAAGTGATCATATCAATGGTACTGAAACTGATATGCATAGATAATGCCTTTCCTTGCCTGGCCCTAGTCTTGTGTATAATTAAAAGTTGACTATCATATCGGATTGAAAAAAGGAGCTTATTTTAAGTATTCACCTTAATAAAGATTGAATGCTCTTATAGGATTGAAAGCTCTTATAAGGCAGGTTCTTCCTCATTATGTTTTGATCTAATTTTATCATCTACTATTTTAACTTCCAAAGCAATAATTAAAGTAGATTTTCATTTGGTTTTTGTAAGGTATGTGAATGGCCATGCCAAAAAACATTATGAAGATGCACAAGTACCCTTAACCAACCATAAGAAATCAGAAAAGCAAGATAAAGCTCAGCACACAGTGTGTATGGACTGCAGTAGCTATAGTACATATTGGTAAGTACTGGTATTTTCTGGAAATGATACTCCTTTCTCTGCCTGTGCAAGTGTTTTCTCATCTTCCTTGCTCTTACCCCTCCCCCGTGAAGCTAAGCCAATCGCCACTGCACTTTCTTCCTTTTAGTCCTGTGAGAGCTTGCATGGGACTGGAGCCATCAGGAATGCCTGTTCTCATTCATTGAGATTTTACTTAGCATTGTTCCTTTCAGCTTCTAGGTCTCATCTTCTCCCCCTCCCCCCCACCCCGTTACTTGTCCATCCCACTAAACTGCAGCGCAACGGAAAGTAGACATTTCTTTGTTTTTGTACATTTATACTGCCTTTTCTTTTTTTGGATTTTGTTCTTAATTGAAGAATAATATGATAAAAACCCATGTTAAAAAACAAAACAAACTTGTTCCTACTGTCCAGTTAACATTTGTTATGCAATCTTAAAAATTTAACTTCTTTGTTTAAAAAATTATTTTGACAGTCTCCCCTGTCCCAGTGTAGTTCCATTCTCCTCTTCTACTTTCCTGTAGACAAATGTCGAGAATTTCATGTGTAGTCTTTCAGGCTATTTTTTAAAAGTATCACATCCTTTAAAAAGGAGATTGGGGGCCCTGTTCTCTCTTTGTTATATATGTGTATATATATATATGTGTGTGTGTGTGTGTGTGTGTGTGTGTTTCATATAAATGACAATTAAGTATCTATTTTTGTGACTGTAGTAGTTAGAACTAGGCTATTTAGTTTACAGTGGTGTTTAACAATCTATATCCATTTGGTATGCTCAGGAAGTCAGTATATTTTGCAGTTTTAACTTCAGTGTGAAGCAAATTTCTTTCCTTGACTAGTGAATTATGATGAATAATTCTTCTATTTTCTTTAATCAGTTTACCCTCAATTCAAGAGGTTTTTGATATTAAAAGAATAAAAAATCCATTTAAAGGATCTCTTTGGGTCCCCCCCCCCCCCATACTTTTTGCTTGACTGTCACATGAAGGCAGTACAGGGCAGGGATGACAATTTAAAGTCCAAATATCACTTTTGATTCACACTTTCTAATCCTTTCTAAATCATCCTCAGTTGATAATTATAGAAAGGTATCCATCAAAAGGAAGGAAAAAAAGTTAGCTTCCCAAGTCTTTTAAAATTTTACAGGTTTAATATTACTAAATTGTGACTATTGAATAAAATACACTAAGGTTCAGTCATTCAGATCACTACTATTTCAGTGAGCTTTTTTGTGTCCAGATGTTGAAGAGAAATCCAAGGTAGGTAGACATTTCAGTAAAAATGAAAACCTTCCCAAGATCTTCACAGAAGGACTAGTGCTCACTCAAGTTACTGTTATTTGTTCTTGTAAAACACTTCTTCCTATGAAAAGTTAAGCATTAACCAGGCTATTGATGTGTTCTCATTAGTTTTTCCCCTTTGTGTTAGGAAACTTATATACTAGAATAACATAGTTGCCTAACTGACAGAACCATGTATCTCTGTAAGGTTGTAAGTATTTCTCTTATACCCCAGAAATTAAGATCATTCCTTAGGTACCAACCTCACAATCATTCTTGTAGATGATGTCAGCTATATGTACCAGATGTGGCAAACATTCATTCTTCTTGATTTTTGTCAGCGGTGTGCATGAAATGCTCAATGAGTAAGTTTGGAAATACAATAAATCTGTGTGTGCTTTAACAAATTTGCAGAGTGGGTTTTCTAGCTTTGGTAAGATAACGAGGAAATTAGTAACTCTAATTTTAAGAATTATCTTAGTGTAGTGGAAGTGTATTCATAAGTCTTTTAAAAAGCAAGATATACTTTAATGTCTTCATATGTTGCAATTTGGAGGAATAACCTTTATTAACTAAAATTTGAATTAAATATATTTTATATTGGTATAGAGTCTAAAGTACATGTTGTTTCATGGCCGAATTGAAAATTACTTGGCACATCTTGAACCCTGGGTAATATGCACCATGGCAGAGACTTCTTGGCCAACTGCCATTCTTTTGTGTGAAGTTATACAGAGCTGCAAGTGTGTGAACAACCAGAGCTTCTGAAATGCAGGAAAGGAGCTGCAGCTGGTCACATCACCCTATCATTTGTGGGTTTTAGAACAAATGGTAATCGCCCTATAGCATTGCACTGATGGCCTAAAAGGACTCTGATAGTTGCAAACTGATGAAGCTGTAGTTTTAAGTTAACATTCTTCTCTTACCTTTCTTTGTTCTTCTTTCTGTATGGGTGTGGGTGTGTGTATTATTTTTCAGAGCACTTTAGCAATTTTAGTTTGTAGATTTTCCTTGTACGTAAATTTCTTGCGGTTAGACTGGTTTATTTCAGAGATAAAATATTGGTATAGTAGGTTTAACCTATTTGATTATTAATTATTATGCTTGTAGTCAAAAAATTTTTACTTTAGCTAATGTTAAAGCTCCTTTTCCATGTGCTCTGTGCTCTAAAGAAGTTGGAACATGTGCTGGGGCTTACAGTTTTTCTACCCTTATTTTCTTTTCCTAGAGCCCCTGCCCTGTCCTGTCTTTACATACCCTTCATGAAGTTATCACTGAACTCTCCCCACTCTCCCCATCAAGTTTCCGTTAGAGCTGTATGTAATCTCTCCTAAACTCATAGTTCTTGGGATACTTGTCATTTTCTGCTTCGTGTTAGGTATTTGCAAGTATCCTTGGGGACTGCAGGAATCCTATACCAGATCTTTTTATCTAACACAGTACCCAGTGTCTGGTGCAGAGTAGGCCATAGGTTTTTAAAAGATTTAATAGTTGACTCTTCTAAAAATGGGGAAGGTTACACCAAATGTAACTGCTGTATCCTCTGACCCTCTTGGAGGACTGAAAAGCCACAAAACATTTTACCTGAAGAAGAGCTAAATCATGGCGTATGTGAGATACTTCATTTACCTCCCAAGGGGGACAGCTTGTTGCAGAGCAGTTCCCTTCACTTCCCGTATAAGCAGGGCTTCCAGAAGCAGTGCACAGTAACCAAACCAAACAACGTGAAATGGCTCGCTGTTCCCAAAGAGGGAAAGCAAGACCAAAATAAGTAATTTTTTTAAATTAAAGGATAGTACACGTTAGTTTCAGTTGTACATCATAGTGATTCAGCATTTACATTAGAAAATGATAAGCATGATAAATCTAGCTACTATCAGTCACTATACAAAGTTGTTACAATATTATTAACTATATTCCTTAAGCTGTATATTGCATCCCTGTGTCTTTTTTATTTTATAACTGAAAGTTTATACCTTTTAATCCCTTTATCACCCATTCCCCTAAACTCCTCTCCTCTGGTAACCACCAGGTTGTTCTCTATCTATGCGTTTCTGTTTTGTGCCATAAACCACTCCTTTAGGAGAAGAGTTAGATTAACTGAGCTAGAGGTAAATGAAGATTTCAGTAACAATGAAAATCTTCCCAAGAAGTTCACACAAGGGCTAGTGTTTAGTGTTATTGCTTAAGAATATTTCCTTTCCTCCCACTCTGTCTTCTCTCCCCCAGTCAATATGAATGGAATATTATGTGGTATACATTATTGTATCAAAAAAGAACAAAGATTAAAATTGATAGAAAAGAAACAGATTAAAATAGGAACTTTTATTTGCTTTCTTATGTAGGCATGCATTTGGAGTTCTAAATATTGAACAATAATTTTTTACTTCTGACATAGTCTTGTCAACTTTGATTCTTATCAACAATAACTGAATTTTAGAGAATACATAAATATGAAAGGAATATTAAAACTAGGTAACTAGACTTTTCCCATCCTGTCAGGATGTTTTAAAGCACTCTTTCAAACAAAGACACATTATGAAATGTGAATCAATTCATTTGTCTTGAGGAAAGACTTGTATTTTAGACTGTAGATACCTGTAACAAATAGCAATTTTAGTTAAAATTCATAAAAATAAAGCTCTTATTGTGGACTTAAATTGATACTGAATCATTTTCAAAGGCAGTTGTGATTCAAAATTAAAAGGAAAAAATCTTTTGTTGACTATAAACTGGACACAAATTTTCAGTGTTGTAAAGATTAGAGAACAGGAGAAGTTTTGTTTATTTAAAAACAGTATTTTGAAGTTAAAAAAACTTTAATAGGAGTGGTCTGAAAAGTTTCTTCCTTAATAATCTGGTACTTGTCTACTTTTAACATAGGGTATGGGTATTCTCTGCAGGTATTCTTCTCATTTTCCAACATCAGCTTACTTGATAAATCATCATTTAATAAAAGAATTTAAAAATAAGCTTGCTTTCTAAAAGAGTACTTCTGGATTTTAACTTTCTGGTTTGAAATAGATGAAGTCACTAGAATATCAGTCTGGCTTTTTTTTGTTTTGCTTTGACTTTTCCTGCATGATGTCTGTCATTTATAGTAAAACCAAAGATCAAATTTGCTTCTGGATATCAAAATATTATTGAAAGAATGAAAAGGAATTCAAAACTTATAGATAGATCTGTCATTGTCCCCTTCTTGAGGGGTACTTTTTGCATAAAAGTTTTGTTTTGGGTTTTTTTCAGTGTAAGTATTATACCTGACTCACTGTGTGTGGGTAAAGTAAAGGTTTCTGTGGCCAGGATTCTCATCTGGCCCTGGTTGGCTCGCTCACTACACATGTGTGGGTAATATGTTACTGCTGACTCGATATAAAGAGCTCTGCCCAGTGGTCTGGGCGACACGGTGGCATGGCTGCTGCACGGCTGCTGGGCTGCAGGAGAGCAGAGACTGGAGTGGTGGCAGCATGGAGGACAGAGACCGAGATGGCTGTGCAGGCAGAGAGGCCCAGAAGAGACCGCTTGCTGTCTGCAGACTTGCTCTGAGTGGACAGGATTCTAGTGATTGACCTGCCATGGTGGGAATAAAGTTGGGTATAAAAAACCGCTTTCACTCCAAGATGTTCACTGTCATTTTTTGGTCTCATTGAATCCACAGTGAACTTGTCTGGGCCTGAAACCCATTGGCAAGACACCGTATAAAGATCATTTTGTAGCCAG